CAATGATAAAGAAGAAAGGAAGAAGGAGAGAGAATACTATTTTGATATATTAAAATATCCTTAACAATTATAGTGAAGGGTATTCTTTTTTATGGGGTAGTGAAATAGGTATGACAAATGCTTTTACACATGTATGGAGGAGATGAGTTGTGATGGTTTCAGGTAAAGGGTAGAGATATACTTAGGAGATGAATTTGTATTTCTTACCATGTTGCCATTATAAATAGTGTTATTAGTTCCCCTTAAAGTGATAATTAATTCCTAAGGTAAAGTATTTTTTTTGTCTTGTAAGGGAGTAAAATGCTTGGTGGATAATCCTTTGTTAAGATATTCATAGATTGATGTTGGGAAGCTAATTAAATTTAGACCTGTCAAAAACGGGTCACGGGTCGGGTTCGGGTCCAACCCGAAATTGACCCGACACTGTTCAACCCGACCCGACCCGACCCGTTTTTGCAAACGGGTCGGTTTTCCGAACCCGAACCCGACCCGCGTCGGGTCCGGGTCAACCCGACCCGCTTCGGGTATATTTAATTAAATTTTTTTATTTAATTCATTTTATTTAAATCTAAATCAAATTAAGGGTAGATTTACTTCAATTAATTTAAAATAAATCAAGATTAATTTAATTTGGGCAATAATATTTATAATTTTTTGAAATATTATTTTTTTATTTCATAAAAATTCATTAAAATCCTCCAAAATTAATTAAAAACGGGTCAAACCGGGTCGATTTCGGGTTTCCGGGTCAACCCGAACCCGACCCGGTTCGGGTTCGGGTTGACCCGAACCCGAAATTTTCGGGTCGGGTTCGGGTCGGGTTTTCGGGTCGGGTCCAATATTGACAGGTAAAGAAGCTATATAATGCAATGTATCCTTTAACTGCAAGTAGCCTCAAATGAAGTGATGTTCTACCTCTACATGCTTTGTACGAGCATGAAAGATGGTGTTATTGGTGAGTACAAGAGTACATATATTATCCCAATATAAAGATGTAGCCAAGAAAGATGGTTTACTAAAGTTGAGTAGGCATTTACGAAGTCATATGATATTAGTGGCTGATATTAATAGGGCATTTTTGCCTCCATTGAAGAGTAACCTATTGTCATTTGTTTCTTGATGTACCGAGAGATAATTCATTTTCCAAGGAAAGTATAATACACTGTTATTAAGTTTTTGTGCAGTGGGTCATTAGCCTTATCGAAGTCAGCATAAGCAGTGAGTTGGAGTTGATTTCCATGTATTGTAATGACATAGTTAAATGTCACTTGAATGTATTTGAACATATATTTAAGACTAGAAAAATGGATCTCACCACCATCTTATAGAATTTTCTCTTAAGTTTGAGGGGGACTTTTCTATCACACAACAAGCCCGATGCATTCCTCCACTTCAACCATCTAACTTGAATTTTATTGATAATATCCCCATCTATTTCACCATCACTATGAATAATAGATCCAATTAAGATATCTAAAGCATGTACTCTTATTAATGACTTGATCACCCAAAGTCACAATCCCCTCACTAGGTCTATTACTAATAAAATTAAACTTTATATATTTAGTTTTAGATCTACTCACGAGAAAACCTTTGTACTCTAATGTTGACCTCCATAATATAAGTATACCTTCAACTCCATCTCTAGTCTTATCAATAAGAAGGATATCATCAACAAAAAGCATACACCAAGGTATATCCTCTTGCATATGTCTAGTGAGAACATCCATGACTAAAACAAAAAGATATGGGCTTAAGGCTGATCCTTGATGTAATCCATCCGAAATAGGAAAATACGTGGCAGTCAAACCACCTTGTGTTTGAACACAAGTAATAGCTTATGCATACATATCTTTAATGATTTGAATATAAGCATTATCAACTCCTTTCTTTCCAAGAACTCTCCATAGCACTTCTTATGGAACTTTATCATATGCTTTTTCTAAATCAATAAATATCATATATGGATCCTTCTTATTCTCTCTATATTTCTCTATCAAACCTCTCAATAAATGTATGGCTTCCACAGTAGACTTACCCAGCATGAATCCAAATTGATTTTGAGAAAAATTAGTATCACGCAGCAACCTATGCTCAAAAACCTTCTCCCATAATTTTAAAGTATAACACATTACCTTAATTCCTCTATAATTTGCACAATCATGTACATCACATTTATTCTTAAAAATAGGAATTAACACACTTATTCTCCACTCATATGATATCTTTTTAGTCTTCAAAATATTATTAAAAAGTTTAGTAAGCCAAGAAATTCCTTCATCTCCAAAGTATTTCCACACCTTTATTGGAATATCATATGGTCCAACAGCATTTTCATACTTCATTTTCTTTAAAGCCTCTCTAACTTCAGTTTTACTAATACGCTGATAACAATAAAATTCTTTATTATCATTTAGGGTGTTAAGGTAACTAAAGTCAATCATATTTCATATTATTCATTAAAATGTTTAACAAAATATCTCATCTACCTATATTGAATATCATATTCTAAAAAAAAATACTTTTTGATCTTCAATCTTAATACACTTCACTTGAACTAAATTCTTACAACTCATATCTCTTTGTTTGGCTAACTTATACATATATCTTTCTGCCTCTTTAGTATTTAATCTATTATATAAATCATTTAAAGCAAAGATCTTTGCATCGAATATTGCTTTCTTAGATTCCTTACGTGCCTCTTTATAGCTTTTCTAATTATCAGAGTTTTTACATCTAAACTAATTTTTATAAAAAATCTTATTATTTTTTATCTTTTCTTGCACATTTGGATTCCAACACCAACTAATTTTAGTATTATGAGTGTTTTCCTTTGATACTCCAAGTACATCCTTTACCATATTCTTAATATCGCCAGCAATTTTTTTTCACATAACATTAACATCCTCGTGCATAGACATAATCTAAATAGGGGTTCAAGGGAAGAGCTCAATTCACACAATGTCTATAAGATGCAATTTTTTTTTATACTCAAAATTATTTTTAAAAAAATTCTTAGAGCTTCTTACTCTAGAATTCTTCCTTATCTCTCTATTTATCTACTATCTTATTCACCAGGTATTCTCAAAAAAATTGGTTGTAATTCTTGGATAATTATGGATTCAATGGAATTCATATATATTGAATCATTTTTTATTTTTCCATAGCTTCACTTAAAAAAAATAAAAAAAATAAAAATTAATTTCCATAGCTCCACATGATAATTCAATGCAGACAAAATCAAATAAAAAAAAATCTCTATTATCCTGTGGCCGACAACAAATTTTTTATCTCTCTATTTATCTACTCTCCTCTTCTTTTCCTTTCTTCCCCAATAAGGCAACAAAATAGGGGCATAAGGGGGCATGGGGTGGTGAGGGGGGCATGGGCTGGCCAGGGATATAATAGAGCATAGTTGGGCTCCTAAGTGTAGCACTATAACGCTACAAATCAATTTTTTATATTTTAAATTAATTCATTCTAAAAATATTGGGTGATTTTAGAGAGAGAGAGAGAGAGAGAGAGAGAGAGAGAGAGAGAGAGAGAGAGAGAGATGGAGATTGTAGATTGATTCATATGGTTATTTTAAAAGCATATTAAGAGCTTGGTAGCCATTTAAAGTGTATATAATGACTTCCTCATGATAAAGTGGTGAGCTAACAAACTGCGATTGAGTTGACCTTTTCTTTAATAAAGGGTATATTGCATCATCTTTTAGTCTTTTATGGTGGTGTTATGAAGGTTGTTTATGTGCTAGATAGTGTGGGAATGATTGGTGGATTTATGGCACCTTTTGATGGTTGTCCATATTTTTCAAATATATTGTAGGATAGGGAAGGAGATGAATGAATAAAGGAGTAACCAACTTTTTGTCAAGCCAATGAGCAATAATGACGACTATGACTTATGAGTTTAACTTTGTATGTTTATTTTTTTAGATGTGGAACTGACCTATTCAGATATCTTTCAAAGTTGTTGGCATAAAAGATTTTGAGTATTTGAGATTTTAGGTTGGAATTTTTGTTTGATATTAACTTCTAGTTGATGACATTCTTGATGTTAGACATCAGAGACTTGAGGCAGGCAGAAATTGGGATTTCAATTAATAACAGAGAGGTTCTCTCTTCATTGGGGATGGAGGAAGTTGATAGGTTAATTTTCAAGGATGAGGGTTGTGATAATTGAAGCGGTGAACATTAGCTAGATTTACTTTGAAGCAATATCTTTGATACCAAATTGAAGATAAAGCTATAGTGATGAAAGAAATAATCATAGTAAAAAAGAGGGGAGACAAATACTATTTGATATATTAAAACACTATTAGTTACTATACTTCTAGTTACTAAAGTGATTCACTTAGGGAACTTGTATGTAGAATTCTTCCTAAAAAAACCCATTATGTAGAATTCATCCTTGAAATTAGGTCTACTGCAGAAAATTTAAATTAAAGAAAGAAAGAACTTAAGAGCTCATAACCTCTTTAGCAAATTAATTTGATGCACATATCCACCTTTAGATTGATATCTTTCATCTTAGTGAAGTGGGCGTACTCTTCTTTTGCCATAGAGAGGAATCTTGAACCTATTTAATTGTAAGGGAACTGTTGTCTGATGACAGAGGTCAGCATGATCGTAATCGGTAGACGACGGAGGTCGGAAAGAACAATGTCTAGTGACAGAGGTCAGAAGAATCATAGTCGACGGGCGACAGAGGTCTAAAGGATCATAGTCGGAAGGCAATGGAGGTCCGACATCAATTGTTGGCCTTGCAAAAGTCTGTTGTTAGTTCGTGGCTGGGTAGAAAAACTAGCAATAATTAGTAGTCGGGTAGAAGTCCAATGTCAATTAGCAGCCGGGTAGAAGTCTAGAGTCATTTGGCGGTCGAGCAGAAGTTTGGCGATGGGCATAAGTCCAACGACGGGCATATGTCTGACGACGGGCATAAGTCCGGCGTAGGATAGAAATTCGGTGATGGGCAAAAGTCTAGCGTCGAGTAGAATTATGGCGACATGCATAAGTCCGATAATAGGAATAAGTTCGGTGTTGGGTAGAAATCCAACGACAGTCGGCGGACGGGCAGAACTCCAACATCAGTTGGTGGTCAGGCAGAACTCTGCATCGGTCCTTTGTCGGGAAGAACTCTGGCGTCGGTCGGATGCCAGGTGAAACTCTGGCGGTGGTCGAGGAGGAGTCTCTTCCTTCTCTTCATTTTCTTCATTTTTTTCTTGTTTAATTTTGGTGTTAGTTGGCGATTGGACAGAACTCCAACACCAGTTGGTGATAAGGCAGAACTCCAACGTCGGTTGGCTGCCGGGTGGAATTCAGGCGGTTGTCTAGGAAGAGTCTCTTCCTTCTATTACTTTTCTTCCTTTTCTTCTAACTTAATTCTGGCGCCATTTGGTAATCGGGCAGAACTCCGGCATCGGTCGGCTGCCGGGTGGAAGTCCGACGTTGGTCGAGGAGGAGTCTCTTCATTTTCTTTCTTCTCTTCTTTCTTGGGCCTCCTTCTTCCCCCCATTTGAGGATCCATTTCTATGAGAAATGAGATATCTATTTATAATTTTCGAAGAGTGGCATGACTAATAAATAGGAAGAAGATCAGGGGTAAATTGAGAGTGATTTGAATGGATGACCGATGTTGATTCCCTTGATTGTGGATCATTTATTGGACATTTGAATGCTTAATGATGTCAGAATTTAACAATCTTGGGCTCGTTGGATTTGTCTTATCGATCTGCTCGATTTGACTATAAACATGTCACATTTGGAAATCGTTTAATAATCCAAATTATAGTGTAAACCTTCCGAATGCGCTTCGGGTCTTTGATTTAGACTCATTTGGGCTCGGATTGAGGCAAATTTGATGTTCTTGGTTCGTATTTTTAAGACGTTTAGTTAGACTGTAAGTTTGCTAAAATCGGAGTTCAGATGAACCCAAGTTTAATTTTTGAAATTTCCAACTTGATTTTTGCCTAAAGTTCATGCCCGATCAAGATTATTTTTAATTATATATCAACTACGATTTAAGAAATCACCCCAATTAGATGAGTGAAGTTTTCCAACCTGCCCTATTATCAACCATCTACCAAATTTTTTCTAGCATTTTTTCAAAGTTGAGAGATCTTACAAGACAAACTACTGAACAACTACTCGACTAATCGGCCATCAATACATGTTAAGTTAGTAACTTCTTATGAGCTCAACGAATAACTTCTTCAAGTTGGACATTCTGATTGGGCTACAAAACTATTGCAATTTTTTCTATATATATATATATAGTCAATTACATAATGCTCAAGACGTAATCCAAATTTATAAGTAGGGGTTCCAGGGAAGAGCTCAATTCACGCAATTTGTCTATAAGATACTGCTTTTTTATACTCAAGATGAATTTTTTAAAAATCTTAGAGCTTCTTAATGTAGAATTCTTCCTAACCTCTCTATTTATCTACTCCTTGTTCCGTGGGTATTCTCAATACAATTGGTTGTAATTCTCGAATAATTATGGATTCAATGGAATTCATATATATTGAATCATTTTTTATTTTTTCATAGTTTTACTTAAAAAAATAAAAATAAATAAATAAATACAAAATTTACATAACTTCACATGATAATTCAATGCAGACAAAATCAAATAAAAAAAATTCTCTATATTAATTCTGTGACCGACAGCAAATTTTATTTTTAGTATATTGATCAAAAAATCTGTCCAAGCAATGAATAATAAATATATCCTGCTGCAAGGGCTTGCAGCTGATTTTCATTTTTAATAAATAAAGTTTAAGAAAATTGACTATAGCACATCGAAAATAGTTCACACTTTATAGACTCGCCATATATTTAAGGTAAAGCTTTCTAAATACTAAGTTGAACACTTTCAGAAGCTTAGGAGTAAGGCGGTGGCAGTGGAAGATCTGTAATAGAGCGGCTACCGGCGCGCCTGTGACCATAGCTCCGAACGTGATCACGGCGGAGTTCAGGACGTTTATTGAGATCATACTAGAGAACCCGGAGCAGAGCGTGCAGTCCTACCATCTTAATGGCTATTCTTTCTTCCCTACTGGAATGGGGCCTGGAATCTGGACTCCGGAGAGTAGAAAAACATACAACTTACTTGATGCGGTGAGCAGGCACACCATCCAGGTGTATCCAAGTTCGTGGACGGCGATCATGTTGACCTTCGACAATGCTGGTATGTGGAACCTGAGATCGGAGATTTGGGACCGCCGTTATCTCGGGCAGCAGCTTTATATAAGCGTTCTCTCGCCGGAGAGGTCTCTCAGGGATGAGTACAATATGCCTGAGAATGCTCTCCGTTGTGGCGCCGTTACTAATCTTCCCCTCCCACTGCCTTACTCTTAAAGCTTACAGAGGTATCAGCTTTATTGTCGCGTTCTTCGCCGCTTTCATCTTGTTTTTCCTTGAAATTCAGAAGGGGAATTTTATTTCTTGACGTTTTTATTTTTGGGTTTGATTCTTTGTTACTACGACATATTCAGGAAATGAACGATTGGATATTTAATTAATTTTGTCTTTGTCTTTTGTCTGCATTTGGATTTGGGGAAGCCATGGATGCTTTCTGTGTCATGTTCTGGTAAAAACAGAGACGGACGTATTTATACAATTTTTTGGGGATATTTTTCATTTTTTATTTGGAAAGTATTTATACAATTTAAAAAAATTGTTGTTCAGATATTCGTACGATCAATCCTAAAGTGATTTAAGTTTTAAAATATACGACAATACCAAACGGTCCAACCATTTTGTCCGAGCATCACATTCATAAGAAATTATTCGGTTCGGATGCAGGCGTCATTCGAAGGAGAATCAGAATGCATCATATCATCATATCATCTGTTTGCTATGTACCACGGCTATGCACAACTGTGTGCCAGGAGGCATGGCCCGTTCTGATTCGCCTCCGAACATTCTGGTGTCCACACAGAATAATTCTCCATATCCATACAATGTTGAGATAATCTCTAAAGCTGACTGGAATTTTAATCTTAATTTAACACTCGAACATAAAATTAGGAAGTGAAGCCCATATCATTAAGTAGTACTTTTTCTTTTCTTTTTTCATTTATTTTTTTTATTTAATGAATAATGTCCTTGTAATGTTATGACAATGTGCCGAAAATGTTAAAACTAAAACTTAAAATTTATTGCATGCAATTTTATTAAAAATTAACATAGATCTCTAAAGATTAACATCTTATAAAATGAAAAAGAAAATTGTTAATTGAAGAAGTCAAGAGTTGTTTATAATTTAAAGCAGTTCTCATGAAAAGATTGATCTTCTCATTCAAGGATCATTAAGCTACTCCCACCAAATATTGTTATTAGAGTTTTCATAGTTCCATCTATCCTATCTATCTTAGCGAGAAATTATTCTGTGCGGAATCTGGTTATAGAGCTGTGTTCGGATGCTTACGTGGAAAGTTAAAAGTCAGCGATATTTATTTGACTTGCGTATTGATTGAGTATTTATTGCGTATTCGTTGCGTAAAATGTGTATATTGATTGAGTATTTTATTGCATATTTGTTGCGTATTTATTGAGTATTTATTGCGTATACGTTGCGCATTTTCTACTTATTTACTACTTATTTGTTGCGGATTTCTCTTCGTCTGCAGTAAGTCCGAAAGATAAACGGGTCGGGTAAGAAGTCAAATGAATATCCAAACTTTCCACGTAAGCACGCCACGTGTAATGATTTTACTGGCATCCGAACACAGCTCTATAACCGGATTCCGCACAGAATAATTTCTCCTATTTTAGAGCTCCAATTACTACTAGTATTTTTATTCTTCTAGTGTCCTCATACTCTCATATCACAAATTGATCTTTTTCATTTATAAGTATCTTTCTAGCTATCTCTAATGTGGATGAGTTGCTATTTTAAAGTATTATATGTGGTTAAATAATTGTAGAGTTGCTACCATATGGAAAATGTAATTGTTTTCCAAAAGTAACATCTCTACTTTAAACTCACATTCAATCACCATATTTCATGCATATAATGAGAGTTCAACTAATCTATCATGTTCACATAATAGAAAAAAAAAGCTACAATGATAAAGAAGATAGGAAGAAGGAGAGAGAATACTATTTTGATATATTAAAATATCCTTAACAATTACACTCCTAACAATTATAGTGAAGGGTATTCTTTTTTATGGGGTAGTGAAATAGGTAGGACAAATGCTTTTACAAATGTATGGAGGAGTTGAGCTGTGATGGTTTCAGGTAAAGGATAGAGATATACTTAGGAGATGCATATGTATTTCTTACCATGTTGCCATTATAGATAGTGTTATTAGTTCCCCTTAAAGTGATAATTCCTAATGTAAAGTTGTGTTTTTTTTTTTTGTCTTGTAAGGGAGTAAAATGCTTGGTGGATAATCCTTTGTTAAGATATATATATATAGATTGATGTTTTGAAGCTATATGATGAAATGCATCCTTTAACTGCAAGTAGCCTCAAATGAAGTGATGTTCTACCACTACATGCTTTGTACGAGCATGAAAGATGGGGTTATTGGTGAGTATAAGAGTACATATATTATCCCAATATCAAGGTGTATCGAAGCAGAGCTAGAACAGTAAGGAAATTCACTTGTAGCAAATTCACTTTGTACATATATATGTTATCGTAGCAAATTCACTTGTAGCAAATTCATTATCGCTTTGTACATATGTTATCGTAGCAAATTCACATGAGTCCTTACATAGTTAACAGATAACTGCCCTTCAAGCGGAGCTAGAACAAGTAAGGAAATCACAAGCTGCTTTGGCAAGTGCAATTGTAGGCTCAGATACAGATGCAGATGTCAGAGCAACACAATAAGTTTTTGGATGAAATGCGCAAAATGAGGGAGAAGTTGAGTGGAAAAGAGGTAGCTCCAGCTGAGGATGAGTCGACAGATTCAAAGTAGTTATTTAGTTTTTTTAATTTCATATGAACTTTTATTAGTTTCTAAATATTTGATGAATTTTATGATGTTAATGAACAATTTATGATGTTTTGGAATATTTGTTGATGTTAATGAACAATTTGTAATGTTTATGTTTATGTTTTTGAGTATTTATTGAAGTTGTTGAAATCTGTGTTATGGAAATCTGTAATGTTGAATAGTTTTTACTAATTAGTGCTGGAAATATTTGAAATATGTGCTGAAAATATTTGTAATTATTTGCAGATGTGGAAATCTGATTGCTGCCTGGGAATGTAATTTTTTTGCTACAGGTTTCTGGCGAAAAAACACAGGTAATCCAACTGAAATGACGATACAACGAATTCCGAAACATTTTTGGCATCTTGGTTACGCCGGTATTTCTGGCGGATGCTGCACCGGTTACCTCTGTCGGTCTACATTTCGACGTATTTAGCAATGTTTGTTACGCTGGTATTTCCGGCAGAATTGTACGCCGATAATTCCGCTGTATTTAATGCCGGAATAAGCTAATTCTAATCGACGTAACTGGCACCCACTTTTCTATTGGTTATGCGATGGAAAGTATGTCGGAACGTGTTCCGGCGTATTATTTATGCCGGGAAAAATTTTCCGACTCCTGCAAAACCGGCGTATGATATTCCATCGAAAATTTGATGGAAATGTTCATTTTCCGTCAAAATTTTCATGTTACCGGTGTATTATGTCCTCCGGAAATGACGAATTTTCCTATAGTGTGAGTAGGCATTTACGAAGTCATATGATATTAGTGGCTGATATTAATAGGGCGTGATTTTTTTCCTCCATTGAAGAGTAGCCTATTGTCATTTGTTTCTTGATGTATCGAGAGATAATTAATTTTCCAAGAAAAGTATAATATAATGTTATTAAGTTTTTGTATGGTGGGTCATCAACCTTATCTAAGTCAGCATAAGCAGTGAGTTGGAGTTGATTTCCATGTATTGTAATGACATAGTTAAATGTCACTTGAATGTATTTGAACATATATTTAAGACTAGGAAAATGGATCTCAAATGGTGCATGCATAAATTGACAGAGGAGATTAACTAAATAAGTAACATATGGTATGTTGATAGTGAGATATTAAAGGTATCCTACTGATTTTCAGTACAATATGGACTGGGAAAAGAATTCTATAATGTAGTAGAGGAAGAAACTATAATAATATTTAGATTATATAAACCTATAGGTTTGTATGCTTGACTTTTATGGGAGGTCTTGAGCATAATAGACTAATAGAGGAAAAGCTTAAATGTAGTTGCCATGGATATGAGCCCTAAAAAATGAGAAGTATAACATAAGTTGCGTAGGTACAAGAATTTGTGAGTTGTTGTAAGAGCTATGAAATATTGTAAGAAATTTCTAATTATCAAAATATCATTATTGAACAATAATAAAAACATTTATATTGAGTTGTTCTTAAGAGCCACAAGGACGGTTTGGTAGTTTTAGACTTAAATTGAGTTACTATAGACTGGAGCTGAATGTTGTGAAACATACTCATAGTGCTTATTTTAGATCGTGTATGACCCTCATGAGTAGACAACTAAGAAGAGGGTGTTGTAGGTTAGTAAATTTCAGACATAGATGTGGAAAAGTTTTTATATTACTTATATGTATGATTAAGTGCCTACACAAGATTTGCTTTAAATATATTCAGTAGTTCCTACCAATTAAATTTGCAAAACTTAACATTCTACCACCCCAAAGGGTAAACTAATGTTTGCTATAGATTTAAGAAGGAAAAACTACAATTTATTTTTCTAATCAGATACCACATAGAGAATATGCAAACCATCCTTAGGGATGAGTAGAATATTTTCCTGTCGCTCCATTTAGAAAAATAAATTATAAAATTTATTTTTCATAATCAAATACATAAAAGATATTCAATTCAAAACAAAGGTAAATAGAGTATATATTCATCTTTTTATTATGAAATCAAATATAATATTTAAAGTAATATTTAGAGTAAGGATCTACATTCACATATTTTTCCCCTATCTTAAAAAGAAACTAAGATGGGGTTTGTTTTATTCTTGGTTCTAGACTTCCTGCAGAAGCATGCCCCTGCAGTTAATTACATCTTCTGAGAGAATACACTCGATTAAAGTGAAGAGCAAATATTTTTAAAATTCTTATAGATTCAAAAACATGATTGAACTACTTTTAATTACTATGCACATAATTTAAATTATAAATTTTGGAATTTATATTTAGAAATGATAAGAAAATATGTACAAAGAGAGAGGTGTATACAATTTGGACTTACACTTGCTTAGAGCGAGTTGCCAACTAATAATCCTATACACAAAAATTATCGTATGTATGCATGATTTGGTAAGCTCTATCCTAAGGATCAAGGAGTTGTTATTCAAAAAGTTT